ACACGGGCCCAGATCTCTTCCCTCTCTTTCTAATCCAGACTACCTTTTCTCCAGCTGTTTCTTTCCCAGCCTCCTGGGCCCTCTTTCCCCTTTAGCTTCCAGGTCTTCAATTTATGCATTTTTAAACAAGAATGTTGTTTAGAACTATCCTAAAGGAACTTGCTCCCTTGTATAAGCATTCCCTGACATCATTGGGAGCCCAGCCAGTGTTCAGCCTCCATTGAAAATTCAGTAGGATTGGCTAATCTGCAAGCAAGGACCCAATTCTGGCCGTTACTGGACCCCTTCCCATCTTATTACTTCATCTCAAAACAATAAAAAAAATGTCTTCTGTCTCTGTTATTAGCGACAAGGAGCTCAACTGTGTGTCCTCTTTTGTTAACAAGGGACGGGAATGGCAGCCTTTCAAGTATTTCTCAAAATTAAGTTGGGCGTCACTTTACTCGCAAGGCAACAATCCGACTTTTTTCTTTCTTCTCCGATTAGGGAAGAGCGTTGAATTAGGGAAGGCGTTGCTTAACTAAGACCACATGGGATATTTCTCATGCTTTCAACGTGTGTGTAACCCGTTTCAGGACTGAAAACAAAACCATTAAAATAAGAGACTTAGCCAGTTTTGATGGATCAGGTGTGTAACTCACCGGGAAAGTTTTCAAGGCATCTGTTTTGTTTTTGTTTTTTCTTGATTTGTGAGACTGCGCCACAAAGGGAACAAAAGTTCACCTGGCCCTGGATTTCTGTTGTTCAGCGCGAGAGTTCTTAAGTGAATTTTGCTCCATTTTACGACGTTTCTCGCCACGGTTCTTTAACCGAATCACTGCAGTCGTTAAGCTAGCGACACGGATGTTCAGTAAATCGGGCTTCCCCATTGGCTTTTGCTTGTCAGAAGTTTGCAAAATGTGATCACGTGACCCCTCCCAGGACACACCGCAACCGTCATAAATGCGAGTCGGTTGCCAAGCGTCTGGATTTTGATCACGTGACCACGGGCGATGCTGCAACGGTCGTAAGTGTGAAAAAGGGATCCCTTCCAACTCTCTTGATATTCTGTTGCTTTGTACGGCTCTAATCCGTTGAAAAGAAATAAAATGTGAAGGCAGGAAGGATTTTCCCCTGTATTTTAACCCTGTCTAAGATGCAAACCTCATCCCCCTCTTTTGATTTATTTCGTCTTCAGCTCTTGAATCGCAAGGACAAGACCACTTTTGAGAAGCTGGACTATTTAATGTCGAAGGAGGACAACTACAAGAGGATGCGGGAATACATCCGATGCTTGAAGATGGTGCCTTGCATTCCTTATTTAGGTAAGTTTTAAAACTGTGTTGTTGTTTTTTTTTGTTTCTCCTTCTGAGCGATAGACAAGTCTAGACTTACTTGGATTCTTCCCAGATAGCACAGGACAGGGCATTTAAATGTGTGGGAGGTGATGGTTTGGGTGAGTAAAAATGGGCCTTTTGAGATTGTGGATCCACGTTTTTTTTAGAGCATCTTCTCCTTGAAGCTCTGTTTGAAAGCTGAATGATTTAAAGCTGTATTATCCATTATCTTTTTAATCAATTTTTAATTAGATGTATATGTTAGTATTTTAATCATTGTCAGCCGCCCTGAGTCTGCAAGGAGAAGGGCGGGATACAAATGTAATTAAATAAATAAATAAATAAATAAATAATAGAATTTATTGCTGAAAATGGGCAAAGGGGCCTTTGGTTAGTTCGTTTCCTTGGCGCTTCTGCTGTTTGGCCTGTACGTGATGCTGGCATGTCACTAACGTGACGTAAGTGTCTGCGTGTATTTTGTGCTTTTCTGAACAACTGTTTTTAAGAAATGCTTCCTTT